TTTTATCTGAGGCATCAAGACGCCGTTCACCAACGACGAAGGACAACTTGCATCATTATCTGTTCACTAAATTGAGAATTATGAAGAGATTTCTTTCAGCTTTTAGGAGAAGTAGTAGATGAAGATTCTCTTAGAAAGCTAAGGAGACCTCTTGTGTTGGTCAGTTCATGTGGCTGTTTCATCCCCACGAAGCAGAAATAAGGCGAACATTGATATGTTCATTTAAAGGTTGTGTGAAAATGCTGCGTATGACCAGTTAACTAACGGAGGCATCCAACAGATTAACAGAAGCTGTATTTTCAAAAACAATGATGTTGTAGTATGAAGTAACTGCAGAATTACCTTTCATGACAGATGTATGAGAATTAACTGATAGTGTAGTCCTTCAACAGATTTCTTGCAGCGAAATGGCAACCTATATGCTTTGCGACTGCATACTAACCAGTGGAACAACAGACATGTTTCATCAGCAGATAAAAGCCTAACTAATGTCCAACAGCAGTTCATTCTGGTAAGCGGTCGTACCAAGTACAAACAAGACACAGGTTTCTGCCTAACAGCTTTAGTTTTCGGAAGTATCTCACTCTTGTATAGTGAAACGTTTTCTCAAGCAAATGATGCAACAATCAACATCAATTAATTAAGTGTAGCAGTTCAAATAACAGATGATTAGCATAAGTTGTGCAGCTCAATAAAAAAATGGGTGGACCTTTCTACTCCATATCAGCTTTCTGAATGTTAATATGAGTTGTTGAAGTATGACTAGGCTCTGAAATTCCTACAACCACTCTACGGTGAGGCGTAAATGGTAGTTGGCATAACTGATGGGATTACTACCACTGAGATAAAGACCGCCTAAGTAATCAGTGAGTTAGGATGGCGGTTTTGTTAATTCCTCTCCAGTCTATTATCTGCTACCTTTTCATTTGTGCTTGCATTATACTACTTAAGACTAGCAAGCAGTTTGTCTTTGTATTTTGATTAGGAATGCTTTACTCAGTAAACACAGATATTATTTCCACTGGAATTTTCCTCTACTTCTATTTCTTTACGATCCTAGTTGAACATATAAATAAACGAATTCTCATCACTTTAGCAATAATCCCACCTTTGAACACAGAAAACTCATAAACAGTGCCTTCTGTGACATTGTAATAATTCTAAGGACAGATTATTTCTGGTTGTTTGTGTCAGCTAACCTACTGGAGTATCCATGACTGAAAAGCGTTGTGCGAAGTTTGTCTAGTTACAGATCGACGGAATCCATAGGGCAGATTTCTCGAATTTATGAGCACAGGGAATGGATAAGACGTCTCCATCTGCTTAGAGTTAAACAACAGCTGAAATCAGAGAACTGCACTTTGAAGGTTGGTTCGACTACTTCAACGTGTCATCCTCTTTTCTGACTAGTGTGATATCCAAGAAGCGAAATGTGAATTTAAAATCCTCTTTGATAGTGATGAGCATAGGCGAGTGAGAACCATTAAATTTCCTGAGAAGTTTAGTGGCTGATCAGTTATCACCATACTTAGTATACGTGTCGTCTCTTGTGTATATGCAGGTAGTTTCTTTCAGTGGACCATTTTCTTAGCTGGCCATGATAACATTCGCCAGAACAAATCCAAACGGAGGCCCACAGAGACTCCCTCCTCTTCATTCCAAATGAAACTTGCACCACTGCATATCTCCTCATCAATAAAACAGATGCAAATAAATAATTTGAAATATTTGTTTGAAATGGTAGTGAAAGATGTCAGAATATTTCGGAGGGAAATATGAGTCGAATACTTCTGTGAAACAACAGAAACGTTTTGAATAGGATGTTAAGTAACCGGTGTGATAATCTTACGGCAGGAGATCTGTATCATTATCATCCTTACGGATTCTTCCGAAGTAAAGACGGGGAGTAAAACAACGCTGCCTACTATCGCCAATTATTTTTCTGATTGCAGTGGATTGGATAATGCGAAAGACAGCGGGCAGCGAGGAAACAGGCGTAAAATGGACTCACACAAAAGACTTGGAGGATCTGGACTTCGCCGATGATATATGTCTGATTTTCCACAAACTAGAAGATATGCAAGTGAAAAGCAACAAGCTGGCACAAGAAGCATCAAAGATAGGACTCTGAGTGAACATGGAGGAAACAGAGGTGATGAAGATCCCTAGCCAACACCAACAGCATCAGCGATAACAGCAACAGACAACAATCAGCCAGAATAAATGAAAGGAACCTGAAAGAAACAACCTCCTTTACCTACCTGGTTAGCATCGTCCCAACTACAGGCGGACGGAACTGGTGAGAATATCAAAGCCAGAATCGGAAAAGCAAGACAAGCTTCCATTACTCTCAAGTTTGTGTGGGGATCAACAGCACTCAGCATGAAAAATAAGATCAGGATTTTCAACTCAAATGTGAAGTCAGTGCTACTATACGAACCACAGAATTCACTCTTCACCGCCTCACGAAGAGCACTTCGAACAAACTACAGACTTTCATCAAGAACTGTCTTGGCTCAAGATTTTTCAAAATCAGATGGCCGGAAAAGATCAGCAAAATGGATCTTTGGCGATGAGCAAACCAACCCAGCAGGAACCAGTTGTGCAACAAATCTGCAGGAAGAAATAAAAGTGGATTGGCCACAGTCTGAAGAAACCATCAAGTGACATCACTAGACAAGCCCTCGAGTGGAATCCGAAAGGGAAGTGGCGAGTGGGTCATCTAAGGGTGACGTGTAGGAGGTAGTATGAAGAAAAGATGAAAGCATCTGGGCAGACGTGGTGCCAGGTGAAAACTTTAACGGAGAACCGAACGCAATGGAGACGTGCATCTGAAGCCCTATGTTCCTCTAGCAAATCAAGAAAATAATAATAAATAATGATCCCACTAATGTCTCTGTGATGAATGCTGCTCTCTTTCACCTCTCCAAGCAAAAATCTTCATCGATAATAACACGTGAATAAATAGTATATTAAGACTTTGGAATGACTGACAAGTACTAAACAGTGCTTCTACAATGGTTTCCCACACCAGATTATTTCCATTTTATGATAGGGGTAATGTTGTACTTACAAATTATTGTAGAGTAAATAGTCGTTGGAGATGATGTCGGATGAAGTGCAACCACCTGCACTATTGCCTAAGCAAACAGTCCAATAACACATACAGCTATAATGAGTTAATTACTCCCTTAACCGAATTACGAAGAAGGTAGAATTTAAAGTTCTGTCTTGACATGCCTGTTTGACACGCAGATTATCCGTGCGATTCTTGCTAACTTTGCTACTTGATGCCTGAAGACAATCGTCCACAGGAAGCCTTCGACCTAGGTTTCGAGCTAGTTGGCACTCAACAGCTAGGCACATCTGCAAACTCGAATTCGCGTCACCCAGTGCTTCCAGCACTCACAGACGTTACCACTGAGCCATTTGGACTGGCGATTGACCTCCTGCAGGACTGGCTTTATTGGCTATTGTTTATTCGACACTAGTTAGTAACCAGCTGAATGTGTCAAATGTTTCCTTTGATGAAGACTGAATTCTGTCAATGAAGCTTCTTCTTCTCCTTCAGTCGATATTTTTAACCTTCCAACACTTTATTCATATGAAAAGGCTCACCACATTAACTAGTCACTCACTTGTGTATTACTTTCTAGTAATTATCATTCACTTTCCTTCATTCCTCGTTTCACATACATAGCTAGGGCATCAATACATTCAGATGATTCTTCTCTACATTTAGTTAACATCGTATAACCTCGAAATCGGTATGCTTCTCAACGGACATTAGCGAAATATTTTACAGGAATTTCACATGATTAACAAGCATGTGTAAATGATCACCGAATAAAAACACTTGCTTCGATTACAACGCACCTACTGGTTTCTATGGGTAATACTATCTCTCAGCGCACTAATCACAATTGCTTACAAGTGGTAAAGTGTCGACTTTTTGTGACAGTTATTCATGGAATAAATTTTCAGGTCCGAATGCACTACAATAGCATTAATGAGAGCTACCTGCAATGATATTCAACGTCCTCATTTATAACAGACGTAGTTATATGTGATATATTACCAGATAATTCGTGGAAGCTCATTTCAAGTTGAAAAGCTTCCCTGAATTCTGTTTTAGCCTATTGACTTTATGATATTTGAAATACTTCGTGAATTGATGGTATTAGATGGCTGGAGGCAATCGGCACGAAACCTAGGTCCCAGGCTTCCTGTCGATTGCCTCCAACCATCTAATACCATCAAATCAATGTGCACCGTGATGGCGAGCTAGCTAGAATGGTGGTCATATTACAACCTGATTGATAGATTTCAGTCTACACCAATCAGAGCACTAGACGCATCACACTAGTTATAAGTGTCAAATCAAAATACTTCGTGAATATAATTTCAGTGATGAAGGAATGTAATTCTTGGAACGTGTGATAAACGATCAGAGTATGCAATTGGCTAACGCTCAAGAATTTTAATGCCATGCTATCACAAGAGCATGTGCAGGGAAATTTATGTCGTTCCAAAGAAGAGGCATGACTGTATTGATGCAGATACCTACACATATTGAATATTATTCAAAATATTCATGAAATAAAGATGTACCTGTCCACATGAATGATCGAAATACGAGTTTCGGCTTTTCTAGGTCAGCGAAGTTGTCTACATAACAAGCGCCCGTTAAACTTAATGATTACAATCAAATATACACAAATGATGTACAATGTGTGTACCTAGACCGTTTCTGAGGAATAATAATAAAGCTGGATACTCCTATGACGTAGTGAAGAAAGCTTTACAATAAAATCCACCAAGTATGACACTGTCATCAAGTTACTTGTAATATTTAACTATAGCTACAAAGTCACGCTTGCGAAGATAATTTGTGAATTCATTTTGTAGAGGGCGTGAACGTGGGTGATTAAAGCTGAATTAATGAGATTGGGATTTCCGGGTATCATGATAGAAGTCAATGTAAAGAATTAACCATTTATTTATTCATGAATCATGAAGAGTTGGAAATCGATAGATTATCAGCTGCGTTTATTCCAACTCACTAGTCGGGGATAGTTCCACTTTTAGCCAGAATAACATAGCGAATATCATGAATAGTCCCACTGACTCGATGAATTCAAGGAAGACCGTAAATACCACTGAGTGGATTGTTTCATCAGGAGAATATTTCAACCACACTGTAGATAGGTATATGATCTGCAATTTCAAAAAATCAAAATGTGAATATTCTTCAAAATTATTTCAGGTCAATGTCATGGGTCCTGGGGGCAATTAGATGTGAATCATTGGAAAATGTAGTTGGTGCATATTATTTGAGTAAAGAAAATTTTAGTTATTGATTGTTTTCTCATGACAAACTGTTAACCCTCTGACTGATTGAAATACTCCCGCAAAACTGTTCGGACATCATTCGATATAATGTCTTAACAGTATGAATTTGAGATTATTCCTCTGTTTAAGTGGAAAACTACTGTGTAAAGACAAACAGTTGGCATCCATGAGAAGCAGTAATAGACAAAAACACAAAGCTAACACACAAAAAAATTCCAACATGACCACATTCAAATATGTTTCACTGGAACTCACAAGACTTGTTCCCACTCCGAGAAATAATCCACATAATATGTCGAATGGAGACTGAAATAAGAGAATGGAGAGTATGAAACAAACATTGAAATTTTGAATTCAGTTTGTTTGATAGGAGAATGATTACTGATGAACTTTGTTATATGACTGTAGTTTTTGTGTAATACTTGTCAGTAAGCGATTTACCACAAAGGTGTTATTTCCGATTTATGTTATTTCATCAGGCCACAACATCGGTGACAAGAAATTATGTTCCTCAGTTATTCTTCTAATGGAGACAACGAATTCCTGATTACAATCACAGATGACAACAAATAGCGGAGTGAAATGACCATTTGGATGAAACTCGATACATCGTAGTGTCAAATATTTGAAGCACACTGTATGGTAGCTTACAGTCGATGAGAATATCGTCATCTGAATGTTAGAATAACATCTTGATATGCAGTACTAACAGAGAAGCATATAGCTGAATACAGCTCTTTTTCTAAGGTGGTAAGTTTCTATTACATCTGAGAGAGCTTTGCAAGAGTGTTTCTACTCTGGAATAGTGATAATTGTATAGTAGGTATTCAAACACACATACATGGTCGGTGTGATTTCTTTTCACATATTACCTAGCCAGGGTCAGCACGCCGCTCTCCACTGAACGGCTGATCACTGGACAATATTCGTCCTCCTGCGAAATTCTCAGATACATTTTTGAATGTTATAATATAAAATTAGGAAAATTTAGAGCAACATCCACACTCCAGATAAGCCACTTACACCATATTTTTGAAAAAGAATGAGGAAAATAATCCCGATGACGAAAAGTACCATGGGCAGTGCGTAGAATAAGATATACCCCTTGGCTGAGAATTCTCTAGATCTGAAACCCAAAAAAATTGCTGTTCCTCCTGCGAGCAATGTTAAAACGAGCGAAATCAAGCTGTATATTGGGCCAATTTGATAACAAAATATCGAAACAAGGACTGTCCATGAAAGGAACTATAGAAGGAGAATTACAAAATATCAGTGAGTTTCACAAATTGTGGACAGATTTGGACACTCAATACATTTAATAACTTCACGATATTCCATCACTGACAGAGTCCGTGAGACCATCACTTACTTGATAAGCAAACGATGCACGTTATTCCTCATCTAAATTGCATTTGGCGATTGAGAAACTAATGTGAAGTCTGTTTTCAGGTCAGTAAGCAGCAAGGTGTACTGAAACTCCTATGAATTTCAATCCATAATTATCATTTAACAAAGTGCTAGCAAACTCGAGTTGTTATTGAGATGATTTAGGGAAATGTGTTTTTTCATATCATAAAGAGTGTCAGTCTTCTACCGCAAACTAATTGAAATGTACAGTGAAAAGTGAAAATCATCCATTCAAAGAACTTACTATGTTAGAAAAATTTTGTGAATTCAGAACTTACTGCTAATACCAGTGAAAATATATAAATTCTGTAATGCATTCGTAACTTCCTGGAGATCAGTATGGATATGGTCATGATGACACTAATGATGCTGAAGAGGATAGTCATAAAAAGCAATATGAGTGTTTTCATCAACAGCAGCCTGAAATTATTCTATGATCAGAATAATAGATCTGGCAAAAGTAATTGTTAATATACTTCTCACGTATCATTAAATCGACGCAGTCAGTGTGACGTTATCTGTCACACGACAGTTACGAATGATTTTAAGTAAAGTAATAACCTATGGAGCATCCGTTTTACTTCACGGATATCTTATCAACTTGCTGCAGCCTTCAGTTCATTGAAGATAGAATGTGGAACAATGATTACAATGAATCATGGTATATATATATATAAATATATATAGATGAATCGAAGTGGTGAGTCAGTGAAATATGGAAATGTTACTTTTCTGAACTATGCAATATGACTGGAGACTCTTAAACAAAACTGAAATTTTATGAATAAGATATTAAAGTACATAAAATATGGGGTTGCGTGAATGACTAGAGAAAATATGCTGTGAATTAATTTAAATCATTATGATATCAGATATATGCGGTTTCACACCCATAAATTTTGCTAGCGAGTGAGAGAGAAGTTAAATGGTCCATTGATAATAGCATGGTACGATTATGCACTTGGTACGGGTCCAATCCCCTGCCAATGCAGTCCTAAACCTCGTCTACCCCCCAGTTAGATATGAGAAGAATGAAGGTTAGGTATGGGGTTCACAATGGCATCCAAACTGAAAATTCTATAGCTAAGCTTGAATCCCCATGTTGCATTTAGGACACAAAGACATGAAAACGAGATGACATAATAAATGAAGGGAAGAATTCGATTTATTAATTTAGAGAATGATTTACTACCGCTCCATTTTAGATACGTAGGTAATATTTCAATGGTGTCATAAATATGACAAATGAGAATTAGACGAGGCTTGTTGTTTTATTATTTTGAAGGAGTTGCATATGTCCAGCTGAAGTTCTGTGTCGACTGGGTGTCTGCTAATATGTCCCTCAAACGTCCAGCTTCACTAATTACCAATCAGTGAATGACCTGGAACTCAGCAATCACATGAAGGAGGCATTTATGAATTAATGCATAAAAACTGTAAAAGTGTTACAGAGGGTCGTTTTCTCTCACATTTGATAAAAGTAGCTCTCAGTTTTAGAATGGTGTACCTATTATTATTATTGTTTTATTGTTCCCTTGGGTTCTTAATGGAACATGGGGCTTCAGCTGTAAGTCTACACTTGCCACTTCTGTATTCTGCTGTACTTTTCACCTCCATCCATGTTAGTCCATACTGTTTCTACTCCTCTCCACACGATCTCCTCCATGTCACCCTAGGACATCTAACTCGTCTCTTCCCTTTCGGGTTCCACTCGAGCAATGGCGCGATACCACCAACCGGCCTCCTCACCGAGTATCTAGTACATCTCCATCCACTTTCCCCTGCATATTTGTTGGTTGGCAATCGGTTCTTGTTTTGTTTGTTAGTGCCCATAGTTTCTTGTTGGTGATTGTTTCCGGCCCGGCCATCTGATCTTCAGTATAGAGCGAAGACAGTTTCTGGTTGATAAAGGTCTGCAACAGGCTGTTGGAAATATTCTTTGTGACCCACCCTCCAACTTTATGATCCGTATAGAAGAACTGACTGACTTGACCTTTATATTGAAAACCCGAATTTTGTTGTTGATGCTGGCTGAGTGAAGAAGATTTCCAGATTGATTTCAGGTTGATGAATGTGTTTCTCGCCTTCCTGATTCTCGATTTGACATCCTTGTCCGTTTCTCCTGTAGTTGAGACAATGCCCAATGCTAGATAAGTGAATGAAATAACCTCTTTCAAATCCCTCCCATTGATAGTGATTGGCGATGGTTGTTGCTACTGTTGTTGTTTTTGGCTGTCTTGTTTATGTTCAATTGGAGTCCTGTCCTGTTCCATTGTGGGTAAAATTTCTTTTGATAAAGTCTCACAATGTAATATTTAGTGGGCAATAAATTGTTCTCTAAATGTCATCAGCAAATATGACTGCTGAATAACGGGAGACATTTATCATAAGTATACTCCACCACAATGCACAAGTTCTACTCTTATACCAACAGAGTAATTTCACCACATTCTACGCATGTAATTGTTTAGGTGTTCTGACCATAACAATAACCTTAATCTTTCCTGAACCTAACTCTAAAGTGAAAATATCCCTAAACTGACTGTCATCTAACTCGAACCAGCATTATTGTCGTCTTTAGTAGGTTAACCAAACACTGACTTGTCCTTGGCTTAAAGCTAAACTTAATTTTTCTTAAACCTAAGCTGAAACTCCCCAGATACACCATTTATTAGCATAACACTTTGATGAGCGTATTTTATTGATGGTGACAACATTATTTCTTAGGTTTCACCAATTTGCTCAGTGGGTGCTTCAAGGTCATTACTGCGGTCACACTCCACTTGTTGTTGGCAGTGCTTAAAGTTTCACTTGGCTTAGTTTACCTATTTACAGTCAAAGACTTTTCAATATGTGTTCAGGAAATCTTCAATGAGTCTTTTTTCTACTCATTCAATATGTTTACTTTGGTTGTTGTACGTCGATTGGAATGCATAGTTGGAAATACCAACTGAATTGCATGTGTTGGCTTTCGATTGACTTAAACAACGTGTTATGTGTTGCACGGAAATCAATCCAGCTTCCTGTGTTGTTAATACTTTGCCTAAATTTATTTAGGTGGAAATCGCATATGAAAATTCTGAACATATGGGAAGAAATTTCCCCAACTGAAGGGCATCGAACCCCTTCACCGTTCTATAGTTTACAGAGCAATGTCAACGAATATATTCTCATCTCAATCACTGGACATTAATTGGAATACTGAGCAGATAATGTTGATGAGCTCATAGCAATTCAGTAATCTCACATTGTTTGAAGTAATACAGCCAATTTGTCTGCCAATCTAGTAGAGTCTATTTATATCGGTGCAATGTGAGCAAAGTGAAAAGCCACTACCCACTGAATAAATAAATCCAGAGGGAAATATATTACTCACGACTTACCAACATATAATCACTGCAATCAACAGCAAGTGAGACGTAATAATGTCAGAAAACCTGTTTCTGTTATTGGTGTCGGAAGTAAAACGGATGAAGGGAAATATTATCTTACATTGCAGACTTCATTTGGTCCAATGTTGATGACCGCTGCATCGGCGCAAAAATGTTGACTGTGTTGTTAGTCTGAAAATGAATGAATAAATTCGACATATCACAGACAACTATTTGTGATCTTACCACAAAGAACACTCGCAGGTAAACCACAGTGCAATTCAAATCGCTTGACACATGAACATTTTACACAACACGAAACTTTCTCTCAACCATCATTGTGGAGCTTTGACTTAATTTTCTGCATGGGATATCGGTGGCCCAATTTTGCAGGCCAACCGTTTATATCGGGTGAGCGTCAGCATGCGATCAAACCCCGTACCATGCGCATGGTGTTTAGGTGTTTGGGGGTAGCGCGTACAAGCACAGGGATATACAGAGGGCGAAATGGCTTCCATCAGATGGACATCACTACAGTTTAGATAAATTCAATATCAGTCTCGAGAGATTGTAGACACAGTCCCCTGAACATGATCAAGAAGGTGAGCACATATATACTCAGGCTACTGTCTAGTGTGAAGCACCCTGGAGGTTGAGCTGAAGGCCTTCAAATGGACAATTTCACTTCTACACTTAGAAACTGAAGGGTTAAACTAAAAATAGGATTTCCATTGTAGCCATTAGTGAATAGTTGAACACTTAATATGACATCAACGAGGAAGTCTGTGTGCTATCTTTGGAGGGAAGAAGGAGAAGAAGCGGTATGAAGACCAACTTTATACGCACTCATGGAGATAAACAGAGGATAGTAGGATGGAGAGGTATAGGACAAAGCAGCACAAAGGTGGACAAAGAAATAAGAAGCATAGTTCAGTGTTCAGTGAATTGAATGAAGAAGTGAATCTATATGACTGTGGTGAGAGCAGCCTGCTAGCCGATTGGTTGACACTAATCTACGTCAATGGCTAGTTCACTAATATTGGCCGTGAGAACATATGAACAAGGCTGTTTCAACAACCAATCACAGCAAACCTAAACGCGGGCAAATATGATTCGCAGATAGATGGCTCTACTTTCCGAGAAACTCGAAAACAACCAATCAGAAGACTCCATTTATCTACTTGACTAGGCTATAATGATGTATGTGAAATTTATATAAATACGTGTTGATTTTCGTAATAAAACGATCTGTTGCCTGGCCTTTGTCTTCTATTTGTCCATGAAAATACCGTATGCCCAGCTATTATCAACAGAAGGTTTAGCGAAGCCTTTGAAGTGAATACAGGAGGCAGACAAGACTGGCTGCTATAACATATAATATACTTGATTGTGGTGGGCAGTATCACGCGTCAGGCGAGGTGGAGGGATTTGAGAGGAACACATTAGCGCAATGTGGATAATGCGGGAGATTTGATCTTCGAGAAAGACTAATGTTGAATATCATATACACACGAAGATCTACAGAAATAGACCATTAATTTGGTGTAAGAAGAAATCAGACAAGACAAGACCACAGATGGGCGTGTGAGATTTGTGGATAATTAAGGAGCCTAACCAGCCATAAAAAGCATCAATCACTATCAACTAGAGAAATTTACAGGGGATCAGCTGTTTTGCTTATCTACGTGGCATCACCTGAACTAGGAGAGACATGGAGGAGGATTTTGAAGCTGACGGGGATCGGAAAAGCAAAGCTACTGAAACTTCAAACCTCTAGCTTGAAGCCGTACATTTCACTCGAAACATAATCGATTAAATGAATAATCCTGGAAATGAATCAGCCGACGAAAAATTATCCAAAACATGTGACGAAGATAGTGCAAATTGATCGAACACACGCTGGGAAGATCTCTGAGTGATATCAAACCCCATGTCCTCGAGTGTAACCTGAATGAGAAGTGACCAGTCAAGTGTCCAAGAGTAAAGTGGGGACATCCGTGAACGAAGGAATAGAGAGCTTATGGGCAGTTGTGAAGGCAGATAAACAGCACTACATAGAACACGATGACGGAGAGTGGTACCATTTAAGGCCTATGATCCACTCAGAAATTAACGGAGTAATAGCAACCGTACTGCAAAACTAGATACTTTGAAAATCGAAACCTTTCATATTTGCAAACAATAATACATCAAAGCGACGTTCACGTAATGAAAAATGATAAACTCACAGACTTTTGTTTTACAGTTATTTTGATGTCTTTACAAATGTTGTATTTAAATAAATCTTAACAAACAGGCCACTTCAGTAAACTATCAGCATTAAGCACTAAAGAACGACCTTTGTTAATTTGCGTCTTTCTCGAAAAAAGTTACTGCTAACCAATCACTGTTCATCTATCTCTGATTTTGATTTTCGATAAAGAAGGGTTCCTAAGTCCATTATAATAAAGGTTTTTGTATTTCCCAATGAATGAAAAACAAAACGATATTGTTCTTACTGAAGTTATGCTATTTAATTCTTATAGCTTTATCAATGTATTTAATACTGGTTCCTAAGGTTTGTGAGACACATATAAGTGTGTGACAGACAAGAGAAATGCGTGAAATCCAATTGATTCTACTTAGTTAATCATGTTTCTCATTTGGCGTGATTCTACAGGTTTTTGATACTTATCCTGTGCAAACTGACTGCTAACATACAAGCGTGATAGCGCAGATAAATCAAACTGGATATATACATCGACGGCTTCTCAATGTAAGAGTAGAAGTGACATCAAATTTCTATTCTTTTTATAGCAGCCTCTTAGAATATCGTGTTCTTTGTACATCAGAAGGTTATTTGACGTCTCTTGATATTTACAAATTGATCACAGATTGATATCAGTTAGGGAACCATTGAAACCCAGGGAGTACTCGACAGCTGCTTCATCCTAGTTTGGGAATCACTGGGAGTACACACCCACGGGGTTTCGATTTCTTTCACCATCACTTTACTTTGATTCTACCATCAGTCACAAGGTATTATTCACCGATGTCGAAACCAAACTCATCATCTTTTCAAACAGTTTACAAAGCAGGTATTTCTCTTTAACGCTTCACTTTCACTGTAATCGATACTCAGCATCTATGTCAACATTTAGCAAACGAATTTCATCTTCCAACCTAAATCATTTCATCACATTAACATTGGGTACTATTGATCAGTGTTCACAGCCTTGTAGACTGGATTGATAATTAGTCTCTTGTGCAGTAGCCAATATACCTTTCCACCACTACATGACTCTTCATTAGTAAAGTGGATATAATTATCAATTTCAAATGCGCATTAAGAAAATCGGTGAAAATGGTATAATTATCCTGGGGAAAAAATTCTCATTTTAGTATTACTGTGACAGCTTAAAAAGCTGTTCAGCAGTGAGATAACTAATGTCTGTGTAAGTGTCATTCGTGTGATTACATCCTGGAACATTACAAGCGGGATAATTCTGATTCTTTGAAATGTGTGGGGAATTACTTTCTGCGAATACGTGAAACATGAACTAGTCACTAATGTTGATTGAACATGTTCATGTCATCTCTCAGATAAGTGAATAATCATTTTTCTCACTATATGGAGGAGTTACTATTCCGAATTAAGTGTCTGATAGAGGTATGAAGGAAGAAGCATAAAATGTAGGTGATAAGTCAATCAGAGTCAATTACAATATGAAGAATACTGAGTGATATGTATTGAATTCCCCTTGAATTTATTGGTGTAACAAAATTTAGAATTAAGAACACACTATTCAGCGATGAGAATATTTTCAAGGAATTTATATTAAGCTCTACAGTTGTAAATATATGGTTTTCATAAGTGAAATTACGTCTGATGAGGGAACTGAATCAGAGGTGTGAATACATGAAATAATAATAATACTACGAAATGCAATTAAAATTAAAATGTTTGTGATTATAATCACAGTTAAATGTCAAGTTGCAAAACAATTAATGTCATATATGGAATAATACATTAGGTGTTTAGATTTTGGAAAGGGGTGTAAAATTATAAGATTAGTAGGCTAATATATAGTGTTACATAATGTGGTGTGAAATTCGATACGATAGAATTCAGTGTCGTAAAAACTAATTTTTGGATTTAGAATGACAAGTGGGTCATTCAGATTCAGAGTGAGAATACTAGTAGTAATAATCGTAGTAATGAGGGAAACGCGCATCGAATAACTAAATAAACAAAATAAATAAATAAATGTCCATCCGTCTACAGCTATGGCAGGATAATGATTGTTCATACTTCTCTTTTACACAAAGGTATGGCATAAATGGTATGAAAATATGGTATGAAATTTGATACTATAGAATTCAATATTGTCAATGGAAAAAATATTAATTTTGAATGTAGAATGACAAGTGGCATAAGCGGAAACAATTCAGAGTGAGAATACTACTAATAATAATAATCGCAGCAGTGAGGGAAAAGCACATAGATTAGCTAAATAAAAAATAAATAAAAGACTATCCCTCTATGACCACGGCAGAAGTAGGGATTGTACATACTTCTCTTGTACAGAAACGTATAGCTTAAAGTCATGAATGGACAAGGCCTCTGCTGTCTTGAGAAGTCTATAACAAAGAAAATGCTGCAACTTAGCATGAATTCCGTAGATAATCGTAAGATCATGGTCACGGGTGGCAGAGTGACAGGAATCGATCAGGTGCTCTAGAATAGAGTTTCACACACTTGCTTTCTCCCTTGTAAAACCAAGCAGATGAAATATGTTCTCGTGTCCGTGTGGAAGCCGTTCTCTGGCTACGACCAATATACCTTGCTCCACAAGAGTAGGTGAACTGATAGATGCACATGGTGGCCGCCAGATGGGGGAGCTTGTCTTAAACAGAGATGGAGAACAACTTCATTTGTAATTTTGCTGCAAAGAGCGTCTTTCTAACTGCATTAGAGAGAGAGCATATCTGAAGTTTGATCACCTCTGAATTCCAAGTTCATGAATAAGATTTTCTTTTAAACTGAGTCGGTGACCAGTTTAGACTGCTTATCTTTCATGTTACTATCAATAAATCGGTTCGGGTAACCATTTTCTGAGAGCATGGCTTTTAGGAAATCAAGTTCTGAGTCAACGCAATCAAAACTACAAATGTTTCTTATCCTAAAACAGATCGAATGAATAAGGTTCCTTTTCTGGAGATAGACACCCAACTATAAAAATTAGTTTGTTGTCCGTTCCATGTACGTTCCCGGAGGAAGGATTTTTTGCGAGATCCGTCATTATATCTACTAAGGCACACATCAAGAAATGGAATACTTAATTCAGATTCCTATTT